CAACAGCCCCCAAACACACACACGCTCCTACTCTAGCTTCTCTCACGACGCAGCGCATACCTCTAAACACCAACCATGCCGCACAAGACAATATGCAAGCCGCAGGCTCCTCGGCGCCATCCACAAAACGCCGTCGTACCACACCGGACACTCATCCCTAACTTCGGCGCCGCAGATACAAGGCACGCACAACACTGCCTTGCTGCTTATGTCCACTGCACTACCAGCGCACGCAGGCCACCAATGCGGTGAGTGCTCCTGCGCCTTCGCGCGCAAGCAAAACACACCTTCTGAATCAACATGCGAATCCCGCCAGCATGGCCCCTCCCGTTTCACCCCATCGCATCCAACACCCAAACGGTACTAGCTCAGGCCCTTCCCGGCGCACCAAAGTGACGCTGTGCCCTGACGTTCATGGTCGGTAGAACTCATGCAGAACATTACTTCTCTGCAGAGCCACCGCCTCACAGACGCAAACGTTCACACATGTGAAGAGGGCTGGTGCAACCTTCCACACACTCCAAAGCCCCACAACACTCGACGGAATCTGCATCGCCACTCGCAAACACTGATACAGGAGAGATGCGCAGTTAAGCAAGCAAACACGCTCACTCCCTGACGAGAACAAAACAGTCCGTTGCGCGTAAGCTACCGTTCGCTGCGCCTGGCCTGCCCACCTCTCCTCCACCTCCCAGACCCCACGCCAGCCACTCCCGCCACCACTGCGTACCCATCCAACTGCGATCACCCCTAACACCCGCTCTACTGAAGAATTTACGACGTGTGCAGCTGTTCCCCTGACAGGGGTCGTGAAGCGCAACAAGCACGCAGCGACACCGGCGTCGCGCGTGCTACTGACACCCCAGCTACTCGGCGCTGCACGGCGTCACGCGTGCTACTGACACCCCAGCAACCGTGCACTACTACACCCGTCCACAACGTCTAACGGTTCGTTATTTAAGGCGGTCCACGCGTTCCTAAGTATACTTTTCCTTCTCAATAGGTCGTGCTGTCCCGTTGCGTAGTTCCATGCCTGCCACTGGGCAGCCGTACCCACGGCGGTCCACGTATTCTACCCGCATGTAGATAGAAACTGCCATCCCTCGAAGCCCACACGAAGGCAGCGCTACATCCTGCACTGACGTCATTGACTGAGGCCCAAAGCCAAATGAGTCTGCAGGGCATCCTTCCTATTGGGGGGTCCAATACTGTAACCACCCAGAACTCTCCCACTCAGCACCTAATCATCGACGATCTGGTGGACGCCTGCGGCAGTGCCCCTCGACAAACAAACACAAATTATTTTTATTTTGCATTTAACCCCGATGCTTCCAGGTCTTACATATTGCGCCGACTCCCGCTTGCTTCAACGCATTCGCAGGCCACTTTGCACTCTCCCCCCAGCCATCCGTCAACACGACTAGTTCT